GATAATACTAATGTCGATGGTACTCGAAATTTCCGTCCTCATAACTCGAGAAATTCTTAATGGAAAAATATTTTGTTATAGTGTTTTGAAAAGCTCTCGAGATAAGTTATAAGAATATGCAATAAAAAATAGGGGATTGTATTAAAATCTTTGAAGGTGATATTTACATGACCTTGACAACGCTGTTCAAAATCATATTAATATCACTATCTAATGCGTCATTTAAAGCCTTATAACTTTTGTTGAAATTATTTTTTTCTAAAATGTCGCGTTTATGAAAAAATCTGATGATCCAGATGGTCTGGGACACTCTGTATACTACTGTGTCCAAAAAGTAAGGTGACATTGCATTTATTTCGAAAATTCTTTATTTATTCTTGCAAATCAATTTCGTCCCCTTCAAAGTAATCCCCCCCTGATATAATACACTTATTCCAACGGATTTTCCAATCTTCGAAACAGTTGTAATAATCGATTTCAGGAATGGCCTTTAGCTCCTTCTTCGCAGCGGCTTGAATCTCTTCTATCGACTCGAAACGGTGTCCCCGGAGCCAGAAGTCGCATGGAGCCAAATCAGGTGAATACGGTGGTTGTGGAACGATATTAGTCGAGTTTTTGGCTAAAAAATCACGAATAATCAGCGCAGTGTGTGACGGTGCATTATCGTCACACAGTTAGCCGCTGCGAAGAAGGAGCTAAAGGCCATTCCTGAAATCGATTATTACAACTGTTTCGAAGATTGGAAAATCCGTTGGAATAAGTGTATTATATCAGGGGGGGATTACTTTGAAGGGGACGAAATTGATTTGCAAGAATAAATAAAGAATTTTCGAAATAAATGCAATGTCACCTTACTTTTTGGACACAGTAGTATAATTAAATTCGGAATAAAATACTCTTTAATTTGGTCAAACAAAATTTTTAGATTGCAAAAAAATAATGAGTGTTGGAGTATATTTAAAATTATAACATTTTCGAAAGAACCGATTATATCACTATAAAGTACTTTTTAAATCATTCAATTTTTATTAAAATAATTTTTTCTATTTTGACTACAATATATTTTAAACTCATCGAAATCGAAGAGGGATATTTTCGTGGGTTTACTTGTTAATATTGAAGCTTTCAACTTCTGTCAAACAAAAATAGCAATCTGTAATATGGTCTGCCTAACTTTTCATAATATTGATGTAACAAAAGGAATTGATTGCATTTTTTCATTACGGGACTAACGCAACAATTTATATGAACAATTATTACAACAAAAGTATTGCACAAATTTCTTATTTAAACAATTTAAGTAATTTGTTGAAAACTTGAAAGTACTTTTTATAAGGTTTTTTTTACTGTAGAAATGTTTCTTCTTTGTTTTAATGGAGTAAATAATTTATAGATATAGCATAAAATGAATTTGAGTTATCTATTAATTTCCGAGGCATAATGAGATTCGCAGGTATCATTAACCGATTATTTAAATATTTATTAAAAAACAATTGCAAGAATACTGAGCAGTTTATATCTCAACTAGATAATCAATTACTACAATTACGTAATTACCGTGAAAACGATAGTTTAAAAATAATAAAAATAATACAAATAAATCGAAAGAGAGATAATATTTTCTAAATCAAAAAGTAGGAAAAAGGCAATCCGAGTTCAAGCACAGGACTAATAGTGCTATATACCATATGGGTAAAAAACGTTGGTCAAACTAGCAGAAGACTCTCCACACGTATTGGCGAGCATAGGAGAATTCCTAAGAGTTTTACGGTGGAGTTAACGGCCATACAGGAACATCGTTTGAGGAAGAACCATGATTTTGATTGAGATCATATCAAAGTTTTACATGAGGAACGCTTTTACTTAAAACGCCTGATCTCGGAAATGATTTCAAATTGCAGAAGCAAGATCTTAACTCACAAAAGGATACCGAATATTTGGGCACCAGCTACTGTGGCTTGTTATGAAAATAAACTTTGTTTTGGTTTCTTTCTCTTCTATAAATCATTTCCGCAATGTTAATGCTAGGCATATAAATCTGTAATTATTTGTATTTTGAAGACGTAGCGATGTTATCGTTGACAGGATCGGTTTACTTTTAGCTGAACTCAACAAAGGTATTTTATATTGTTCAGTTTTAATTATTTATTATATTTCAATTTTACTTACTTTTATTTTATTTTATATGTTTTTTATAGTTATGACGGCTACTTCTTAATATTAATTTATTACTTAATATTATTTTGGTAACGATTTTGTCGGCTTTAATATTATGATTAACATTCATGTCAATTTGCGCTGATCTTTTACTAATTGTAATGCGTTCGTGTCGTAAACCTTGAGTTTTATTATCACTGAAGAGGGTTCATAGTTGAGCCGAAACGTATGATTATTTTATATTGATTATTCATGTTCAATAAATATTACACGATTTCCTAACACAAGGAAGGTTTTTTACCTATATGGTATATAGCACTATTAGTTCTGTGCTTGAACCCGGATTGCCTTTTTCCTACTTTTTAATTTATATCTTCGTTTGCGAGTTCTTATTTCCTTCTCTAAATAATATTTTCTATTAAAGATCAAAAGAAATTAATTTCGTAACTCGTACTTAAAGGATACGCGATAAAACTTTGTTAAGAGATTAGACATTTGCTACGTAGACATCTAGTTGTTTGACGGGAAAATACGTATCATTTTTGTTTCTTTTAATTTATGTATAACTGTAACTTATTTTTTTAAAGTAAGTTACGGTTATACATAAATTAAAAGAAACAAAAATGATACGTATTTTCCCGTCAAACAACTAGGTGTCTACGTAGCAAATGTCTGATCTCTTAACAAAGTTTTATTGCGTATCCTTTAAGTACGAGTTACGAAATTAATTTCTTTTGATCTTTAATAGTACTTTTACATAAAGTAGTTAACATAACAAATGAATTTTATAGATTTTTATCACGGAAAACAAAATCGCAAATAAAATTATCCTATTATGTCACATTTTTAACTATTTTAGTTCAAATGTTGTAATAACTGTTCCACATTTCCTGTACTTTTAAGTCTGCATTTTTAATTTTTTCAAAAATTGTACGTGATATAGAGTAAATTCATTTGCAGATTTGTTTTCAGCGATAAAAATCTATAAGAATCACTTTTCTCATGATCTAAAAAAAATTTTAATTTATCGGATCGTGTTATTGCATTTTTTTAAATATATTTTTACCAATTAACTGATGGTTTGATAGTCTGTATCCGCCGCATATAAACAAAAAACTTTCCGAAAGATAACTTGGAAATTATATTGAAATATAACATTGAAATAATTCAAAAATATTTGTGAAACGTTTCATCAAAATCTTTTTCACTGAAATATTTCAGAAATCGCTTATGATAAACGTTGATTTATATATTTATATATAAATTTAATTAATGTAATTAAATAGACAAAATATAAGACGTTCATATCGATCGAAGAAGTGGTGTAGTATCTAAAGCAATAGACTCATAATTCAAAGGTGCCTTAGGGTCCAAGTTCGAGTCTCCCACCAATGAGAATTTTTAAATGTGATGTAACATTGGAATCAAGTAATTTAAAATTTTCAATTAAAATCAGCAAACACTGTGACATTTACGAATAGTTTCTAAATATAAATATACGAATAGTTTCTGTATATACGAGGGCTGTATGATAAGTATCCAGGTTAGGGAAGGAAACGCATTTAAAAAAAATTTTTTTTACTTATTTTTCAACATAGTCTCCTTTCAGCTCGATACACTTAATCCAGCATATACACATCCAGCAGATACATATATTCCAACGTTTTTATACCATCCAAAAAATATGATTTGTCTAATTCCGCAAAATAGGTCTCTATTTCGGCGATGACTTCATCGTTTGACGTGAACCGCTTTCTGCCAAGCCATTTTTTCATGTTTGGAAATAAATAGAAATCGCAGGGGGCCAAATCTGGAGAATAGGGTGGATGTGACAGCAATTCGTAACGTAATTCGACCAGTTTTGCTGTGACGATTGCAGACGAATGAGCTGGTGCGTTGTCATGATGAAAGAACACTTTTTTCTTCGCCAAATTCTCTCGGGACCGTTTTCTCTTCAATTTAGCGTCAAATCAGCCCAATAAATTAACATAGTACTGCCCCGTGATTGTCCTTTCCTTTTCCAAATAGTCAGTGAAAATCATGCCTCGCGAATCCCAAAAGTGGCCATAATCTTTTCGGTCGATGAAACTGTTTTTGCTTTCTTTGGAGCAGGTTCGCCGGGTTAAGTTCACTGTTTTGACTGTTCTTTCGTTTCTGGCATATAGTGATGGATCCATGTTTCGTCAACAATGACGAAACGCCGCAGAAACTCTTTCAGATTGCGCTTAAACATGTCCAAACAGTGATCCGAAGTTGTCATGCGATTCCGTTTTTGTTCCACTGTGAGCAAACGCGACACAACTATCTCGCCGATTGCTTCCTCATGCCCAATTTTTCGTGTAGAATATTTTGTTCGCGTTCAATTGAGATATTTACCATACAATGTCAGCAATCTCTCTGATCTTCACCCGGCGGTCTGCTAACACGATATCATGAATATTACTTATGTAATGATATTACTATATGATACTTATTATACAGTTCTCGTAAACAAAAGTTTCTGAAATATTTCCCATATATTTTTGAAACATTTCAGCAATGTTTCAGATAGTACATCAAAGCGATACATTTTATGTATCTGAAAGATATCTAAAACATGTCTGAAATATTTCTTTGAAATGTTTCATATTTCATTGAAAGCTTTTTGAAAACTTTCTGAAATATGTTGGTGCTGCGTAAGTACTCAGCACATTTCTGTTTTTTACTTTTAGCTTTAGTCGCCTTATAAGAATGCCCAATCTTTCTAAGTCTATAATGTGCACTTGTGTTGTACTTATCATTAAATATTTTATATATGAGAAAAAGTCTTGTACATAAATTAATCTGCATATCTCTTTTTCTAGGTTGTCAAATAAACTTAACGAAAGTGTTAGATGGCATAGAGCTAGAATTACCCAAGGCAACCAGAAATTTCTATGTGGATGGACATACCCCAACTTTACATTAGAAAAATTTTTTATGTTAACTTTTTATGTTAAAATTAGTAAAATAAAACATAAATACTGTATTTATAAATAGTATTACTATTTTTTATACATACCCAGTAAATGCTAGATATTCCTGAAATATTCTTTTTGCATTCAAAAAATTCCGTATATACCGGCACAGTCAAGAAATGTTCATTGAGTGTTCAAATAATCGTGAAATATTTAGGATATTCTATGAACACTTCGCAATAAATCACTATGTATAATATTCAGCATATATTTTGGTGTATGTGTGTGTGTATTTGATACATATATAAAATGTTCTATGGAATATTAATGGAACTTTTTTGGGTCAATATTATGGGACATTAATGAAAAGCGTCGTGCATACCTCATTACCTATCGATCGTATTATGCATCATGCATTGTATTCTTATCTTCAACTTACAAGGGACATTCGGCAACGTGGAAATTAAAAAAAAACTGGAAACTTTGCGTAATTATAGAGCGAATATTTTTAATTCCTTCACTGTCGAAACCAAAATCACTAACCCGAACTCTGATTTTGATACACTTTTATAAATATGTAGAGTAAATCAATGAATAAAGGTATATTCCATTTGTGCCCTATCGCTATTTAAAGATATAATTTCTACTCTCAAAGTAAAAAGGACGATTCCACTTTTTCGTGTATTATTCTTAAATTAAAGGAAATAGAAAAAAATGTTTCGAATAAAAGTTTAATAATAAATTAAGTGGTGTGAATTGACATAAGCATAAATAAAAAATACCTTTTTTAACAATTTTTTTACAATAAAAAAATTAGGCCTCCTCTTCATCCCAAGTCGCCAGTAAGTCATTTATTGTAGCGTCAATCTCTATCGGCTCCATGACTGCTCGTTGTCTGCTTCTACTGTCTTTTATATTGTCGTGTTTGCGTTGTCTTCATCCTCTGTTTCTGATGCGGACTCTTTTTCTTCTTTCTTTGTTTCTTGTTTTTAAATCTTACACGTGTACGTGTCTGTACCAACTATTTTGTCCTTTAGATCTACGATTATTTTCTTGTAATGGTCTCATGTATTTTGGTGCTAATTTGGCGTTTACTGTCTCTTCTTTGTTTGAAAGTATGTGTGTCCGTTTCCACACCCACTCTCCTACTTGTTGTTTCCACTGTCTTCTCCGAAAATTATAAAATTCTTATTAATAAATTAAATATTTCTGTTGTCGTTGAAATGCTGGCGCGGCGTTGATATCAATTCCTATGTTGCCTTTAGTTGTTTTTCTATTCGGTCTTGTTGGCCCGTCGGTGTTATCATATTTCTTTCTGTCGGATGCGGTTCGGCTAGTTTTTTCCCGTGGTTTATATACGCTGGTGTGAACCCCGTGCCTTCGTGTATTGCGGTGTTATACGCAAATTTTAATTGATGTAAGTGTTCGTCCCATATCCGGTGTTCATTTCTCACAAACTGTGATATCATTGTTTTAATTAACTGGTTTGTTCTCTCAATCAGGTTACAGTACGGAGCTCTTACTGGTATTGTGCGGTATTGGTTCCGCATCCCTGGAATAGTTTTTGTAGTGTGCTTGATTTCAGCTGCGTCCCATTGTCTGAGATTATTGTTTTGGGACATCCATGCCGGTATATTATTTTTTCTGTACTGCTTTTATTATCGCTGCTTCAGTCACCTTTCTCAATCTCTAGCCATTTAGAAAATCTATCTTGCATTGTGATTATCCAATTATTTTCTGTTTTTGACCTAGGTAGTGGTCTTATTAGGTCTAGGGCGACCTGCTCTCATAGCGCTTGCACTGCGCTTGCGTGTAACATTTCAGCGGGTTTTATTGCGCTGTGCTTTATGCGCCATGCAGCTCTTGTATTGTCTTACATGTCTCGCTACGTCTCTGAACATTCCCGATCAATAGAAGTCGGGCGATTCGTGATATTGTTTTGGCGATGCCCTCATGTCATGCTGTTGGGTCGTCGTGGTATTGCCTCATTATTTTTACTCGTTCTTTTGGAATACAGTTTCCACTGTGTTTCCGCTGGTGTTTTATTGAAGTGGTGTTTTAGTGAAGTCCAGACTGTGCAGGATGTGTTTAAACAGCTTATCGTTTATGATTTTGAAATCTGTTTCTTTTGTGTTCTGTTGTGTTTCTTTTGGATTCATTTTTACTTGTTGTTTTATCCTTTCGTACCATGAACATTTCCTGTTTCCCTGTATTGTGGTTACTTAAAGTCTGCGGGAGAGTGCATCCGTTACCTGATTGGAACTTCTTTTACTATAATGTACATCGAAATCGTGTTATTGGAGTTTAAATTGCCATCGGCCGAGGTGTCCTGTTGGGAATTCGATTTTCTGTAGCCACTTTAATGATTGGTGGCCCGTTAATACTTTAAATTGTATCCCTCTAGGTAACCTTTCTTTTCCTTATTCCCTATACTACTGCCAAATATTCTAGCTCTGTTGCGCTATAGTTTTTCTCTGCTTTATTTAGTGCTCTGCTGGCGTATGCTATGACACGCTCTTCTTCTTCGTGTTCTTGTGTTGATACTGTCCCTAGTTTGTACTTGCATCTGTTTGTAATATGAACTGTTTTGTAAAATCGGGGCATGCTAATATGGATGCCGTTGTTAGGCGTTTTTGCAGCTCCTGGAAGCGTTTCTTTCTCTTTTTTTCCCCAAGTCCATTTAACTCTTTTGCGAGTCAGCTGACAAGGAGACTATCCAAACCTGCTGCATTAGATTTGGCTAATTTTTATATATATTGTAGTAATCCCTTTCCTCTAAACACAGTTCGTATAACTCTTGCCAATGAACAAACTAGTTAACGAAAAATTAGTGTTGAAAGTTTTCTGTGCGTCTAGAATATTGCTTAAGTAGAAGCAAAATTCAAGTAATGCATGTTCCAGATTTATCAAATTTAATAAAATATTTGCACAAACTTATAAACATGCTTCTTCATAATTTTCATCTTCCATAATTTTGTTGAACGCAATCAGATTTTCTTCTACAACTTGTCTATCCAACATCATGTTTGCAATGCTCTTCAAAAGTATAGATATATTATAAAGGTTCTAACCCAGGTCTTCCGAAGGGGGTACTTCGGGATAGACGTCACCGCGGGGGGGAGGGGTATGATGTCATCGCGGGAGGGCATACCGATATTATCAGCGGTCGGTAATGGGAGAGGGCATACCAATATTATCGACGGTCGGTAATTTATTACCGATATTAGTAGGTATACTAAGCCGGCTCTAATCTAAGTCCTCTGAGGGGGGTAACCGCGAGGGGTATGACGTTACCGGGGGTATGACATCACCGTGCGGGGGTATTACCAGCGATCGGTAATGGGAGGGGCATATCGATATTACCGATGGTCGGTAATTTTTACCAATATTATATACCAACATTTAATTACTTAATTTTTTACCAACATATATTTACATAATTTTTACCGGCATATTTACATAATACCGATGATTGGTAGTTATCAATATTATATACCAACATTTAATTTCAATAATTACCGATATTATATATTGATATGTTAACGTAATTGTTTAAATCTTCTTTTGATAAATCATTTTATCAATCCGCGGCAGATTTTTCGCGGCGGATTTTGCGGCGGTTCGCGCCTCCCGCGCCGCCCACTCGCGTATTTCGCAGTGTAAATTTTTTAGTCGCAGCTGCAAACTCTAAGAATTTGCAAACGTATTAAATATCACTGCGCGACGACATATTGCAAACGTATGCATTCGATAGTTAGATGCGCAAGAAGAAGAATGTGATACATGATACTTTTATTACTAATGAGCACGTACACTGTGCTGCCGCGACAAAATTTTGCAAGCGTTTGCGTGTTATGCATCACTCGCTGTGCTCCACAAAAGACCGGATAACATTTTAAGACTATTTGTGGTATATCGAGAAAATATGGAAAAAGGAGTAATATAAATAAACAGCAGATCTTGGAATTACAATTTATATATTTTGAAACTGTTACATGTACATATTATTTGTCCAATATTTCATACATAATATCATTCATTGCGCACGCCAATAGCTCGCAATCGATGAATGAACCACCGTCAAAGTCCCCGCTATTGCGTATCGCCGATATCGCATTATCCGTTTCGGTAATATTCTTCTCTCGAAGAACTTTTATAAAATTTCTACATTTTGTATTAATAATGTGTGTATTTTCATATAACCATGAGTACATATGATCAATGCAATGCTCGAGAGTAAACAAATGTTCCATTGCAGCTGGTTGCAAGTACATGCAGTTACCGGATAATGTAAGTTTTAAAAGTTTCTTGCCGTACATCGTGCACCATTCCACCGCCAAATCGCGAATCCATAGCGGAGAGGATGACACCTCGGTTATTTGCAAAAGTTGTAAAATGTCTTCACGTTTTGCCTCCAATCCTCCACAAGTTGTCGAATGTAAGACCAATTGATTGCCACAATTGTCACCGAGGACTAGTTGCACAGGGGATACTGTGCTACGCTGATCCCAATCTTCAAGTACTTAAAAGACGTTGACGTCAAGGCGTATCTTCGCCCCAAAATACGGGCTGTACAACGCGGTTGCGATACACTATAAAACATAAATAATTTAACGTGGTTGCAATAAACAGTTAAAAATTAATGATTCACAAGAAAGTAATTATTAAGATTTACCTTTTTTTCTCGTACGGCGAAGCATCATCTTGCACGGGTATTTAATAGTTCATACGTTTTCTTTCAGCACTGTGCATTCTTCTAAAAAATAATATTTGTCCACTAAATACCTTTGTTGCAAAACGACTGATGCAACGAGCGACCAAGAACCGCTTAAAATACGTTTAAAAATTCCCCCCATCAACCTAAATCCTTAAAGTGTTGTATAATAATAGTAATAATGTAAACGAGACTCATCTAATTTTCATCTATATCTATTTCTACTGTGTAAATACATTTGATCAAATCATTCAACAAATCTCTGATACGGCGTCGTAGATAACCAATCGAATACTC